GTGGTGTTTCGGTTCACTTTTACTCCATTATCATGCAATTTTTGTGTATCCCTTGCTTCACGGGTTGTTAGTGTTTTTGTTGTGTTTTTAGGTTAAAAAACGACTATTTGAAGCATATGGATGATAAACCAAGGTTAGAAGCCAAGGAAAAGGAGAAAAACCGAAGAAAAAGTGAAGATAAGGGCCTTAGAGAGCCTGCACGGGCGTGCCGTACCTTGCACGTCCGTACAGGAGTGCATAACAACGATCAGAAACTTTAGTCTGCTGCTTTCAAGACCTGCACGTCCGTGCAGAGTTCAGCATGTCCGTGCAGGATACTTAGCACGTCCGTGCCTAATCCTGCACGTCCCTGCAGCTCGTCCAACTGATCCTGCAATTCAAGGCATGCACGTCCGTGCCATTTTTGGCACGTCCGTGCAAGATTCCTAGGCCAAGTCAGTTGTTACTGATCCTAATCCTCTGGCTCTGCACGTCCGTGCGTATTAGGCTGTCATCCGGGACTTGTAGCCGCGTTCGACTCTTATTTTCTCCGTCTTTTTTATTTAGGGGTCTTTATAAATACCCCTTTGAGCTCATTTGTACGGATATTCTGACTCCTTAACTCTTTTAGACTTATTCTCTTAATTAGTTCATAGTTTTCCTTTCCCTTAGTTTAGTTTTTCAAAAACTCAATCATTTGTAAGAATCATTGGAAGTTTGTTCCATTAATTTCAACAATTTCTCAACCTTGAAGTTTATTAAGTAATCTCTTTCTTTTATCTCTTGCTCTTAATTTTCAGTTTTAATTGTTTTGAGTTGATAATTTCTCCCTTAATCTTGTTTATTTGTTCTTGCAAGTTTAATCCATTCTTGTTCTTTCTCTAACCTAGCTTATTTGAATTCATGAAAACCCTAGATTTAATTGTTAGAGTAATTTTCACCATGTTTAGTGAGTAGTCTCTTAGTTAGGGGTTGGGTGAAAACCCAACCAAGCTATGGTTGATTTACTTGGATTTATTCATGTTCTACTTTGGATTAACGGTTGTTGTGCTTGAATTGATTATCGCATGTGTATTTTGAAGGCCACTATATGCTCATGTGTTCATCCCTCTCCTCACATCGAAAGATGGGGTTTTGGAGTGAGTCATTTCTTGTGCAATTGGATTATGCTACTTTCATGATTGTGGATGTCTGGTTTCTTTGAGTAGGATGCTTTAGTGTGGTAATTAGGCGAGAAATCCCAATTATTTGTGCCTCATACTAGTTCGGAACGATCGAGAGACAAACTCGAGCTAGAAACCCACTTTCTATCCTTGAGACTTAATCCTTGTCATGTTAGTGCTTAATCTAGGGAGTACTTATGTTGTGACTTTGAAAGAAGACAATGTTAAGTTCCTTCACTATCTTCCATGTATGCTCATGATTTGTCCTTGTTATTGATTCCTTGGTTTTGGTTGGTGTTGAATCCCGTTTCCCCTAGCGTTCCTTTATATAGTAGTTAACCAATCAAAACCCAATTTGTGACCAAATTAGCTTACAACCGTTTCATACTCTTGGTGTTCTTCACCTATTCCATGTGGATATGATCCTCTACTTACCCTAGACTTGTCTTAGGTTAGTTTAGGTAGAAATATTGTTTGGTTTAGGGTGATTGTGCAACGAGCGATTATTCCTCTACTAGTCAACATATCTTCTAAGAAGAAAATTTGAGTTGTCAGTAGAGATATATTTTAACTGACCTCCCACTCTTTACCCAGGACAACCACCTTCCCCTTATCATTCATAGCACCAACCTCAATCCAGAGTAAACATCATCTTAGGGCTATCACTTTGAACAACAAGTGCCTTCCATATAATATCCTGATTGGCACAAAGGTAGCTTGGGTACATTGTGACTATTGAAGAGTAGGGACATTTCAATGACTGTTTTACAATAATGTATCTAATTCAAAATCATGGTTGACTAGGATATTCTTACAAGAAAAGTCTTAGTTTCTCACTGATGTCATCCAATATCGATCAAAAAAGGTCACCTCATGCACCAACTTCTGAGTTAGCCCCTTAGCCCCACAATAATTGCTAATCCCAACCACTTGGCTGTCTTCTACAAGAATGCAGCCACTGCCCCAGAGTGAGAGTACTGCCTGCGACATCTGCCTCTTCCTCCTTAAAACTCATTTAGCAGCTGTTGATCCCATGATCCCAATCTGATGTGCCAATCAAGCATTATAGGACACATAAGCACCTCCACTGACTTCTCAACCGCCACTTTACCAAAGCCCAACCCTAGAATCTCAACATGGATCATGTGAGTATGTGACTATAGTGTCCCTAACATTTTTGGCAATCAACAAGTGCTTTGATTGAAGGAAATTATTCTCATATCTGTACAGCATGCGACTAAGAAAGTAAAAAAAAAAAAATTCGTTTACTTCTTTCTTTCTGACTTCTTAGCATGAATACACATCTTGGCTCTAGTAATACTATCAAGGTATCATGCCACTATAGCCTCCCTGAATCAAAATTAATCATGTTATGAACCATATCTAGGCAGCCACTATAGCATGACTAGTTTATGAGAGAATTAGAGGAGCTTTCTTCTTTGATTGAGGTTCTAGCTCTGCAATTAACTACATAGGAGGATACTAGGGTTCTCACAACTTTTGGGTCCTTTCTTGTAATCCTTTTCACTGTTGCTTGACACATACCCCCTAAAGTATCAAGCATTTTTCCAGGGGCAATCTCCATTTGGAAGGCAAACTTTCCTCTCAAGGGGAGGGTCTTTGTGTAGAAATTTAGAAATTGGCTTTATATAGAATTAATAATAATGACATGCTCCTAAAGCAAAACTAGGGTTGGCTATTTCACCTTTTAATCTATATGCTTTGCTTAATTTATAATGAACCTTGTTCACATGTTTATCTTCATGGTGAGTTGTGAGGTGACAAGATACCTTCGAAGGTCGTTTGCTTTGTATGAGAACTTGCATTTGTCCATTAAATGTATTGGCTTAGCTTGTGTGGTTTCGAAGGGAAAAGAAGAAGCTTCTGTAGCACAACACTCTGGAATTATGTGGTGTGTGTGATTGAAAGACTTAAAAAACAACTCGTGTGTCTTTTCACAAGCCTCATCATCTAACAAATTTTTTTATGGGATATATCAACTCATATTGCTTTATAATGGGAGGAATTAGCTGGGGCTTTCAAGGGTTACTAGGGAAACTTAAAGAAATTGGGTCTGTAGGATTTTGTTGGGGATATAATACCTTTTGTATAAACTCCATTTTCAGCTTTTGATATAATCAATGATTCTAAAATAGGATACGAGTGTTATTCATGTATAGTGTTTTTTTTTTTGTCTCACTTCGTAGAATTTGTTTCTTGTAGTTAAATATAACATCATGGCAAGGATATGAGCAAAGACATGGAGGCATATATCAACAGATAGTCAGCTTGGTTACAAGGACCGGAAGATTGTTAAACAGTAGGAGAATATTGGTTAATAGAAAGGCTTGTGTATGGCAAAGTTGAGAAATCGAGTGCAGTTGAGCACATTGTCAAGTCTATAGCATTTCCTTACTGAGTCACTAAAAGAAAGTGAAATCTGATATGGTGCTGAAAATCAGTTACTACTAAATTTCATAGTCACAGAAAAACATTTACTAAGTGAACTTCACAATAGCCAAAAGATTCTGTACATTCTCAATTTCCGATGTGCTTTAGAGTTGCTTTAGCTCATCTATTTCTAGATACACTTAAACAATCATCACAGTCTAATATAAGTGCAACATATGCTGTAGCACACATTTTGAGAAAGAGATTATACAATACAAACGGACAAATTAGCTAAAATAACATAAACACTAATAACACGACATATCTCTTTTACCAGTGTTCAAACTATATTACCTAATTAGTTTGTTTACCTACAGCTCCTAACAATGCATGCCAAGGAACATGTTGCACATATTAAAAAACTGAGTTAGTATAGCTGTTGTCACTCCACTTAAGGCCTAGTCCGTCACTAACATATTCCAAAAGAAACCTTTCTAGACGAAGTTCTTGAGCTTGAAAATTCTAAAAAGTGATTTGTTGACTGAGATAAACAATACAAGAGGTGTATTGTATTGTAAGGAACTTAGGAAAACTTTTTGCGGAATTAAAAATAAAACTCAAGGAACTCAAAGTATCAAGAGAAATTTTAGCGTGGAAAACTTCTTGGCCATAATCAAGAAGAAAAACGACGACCCACTCGGGGTTTGAAACTCAGCTCTTACTAATTATAATAGGGTAAACAAACTATTACAACCTAAGATTCAAGCACAAGTTCTTCAACAAACTTAAGCACCCAACAACTGATCCCTCACTCTCAAATATCTCTTTCTCTCAGCTTCACTCAAAGCCTTTCTCTTTAGAGTTCACTCAAACCCTAACTCCAACTTACAACTCAAGATTACTCTAGTATTTAGCACAAGGACACTAACTCTCTTAGAAAATATGAATGCTTAGAATGCTCAAGTGTGTTTTTGCTACAAGTAAAACACCCTATTTATAATATTTAAGCAACATCCACTTACACCGTTATTCAGTTCCACTAACAACATTTCCCTCAGCTTTAGGAGAAGTATGCAGTAGTAGAACTTACACCATTATTCAGTTCCACAAACAACATTTACCTCAACAATTAAGGGGTTTTTCTGTGACATATGTAAACAATTAAAACCTACCTACAGCACAAAAAGTTTTGAAGACACAGACCACAGCTAGCTGTTCAAGGTCTAGGGAACAGTACCTCAAAAAATTGCAGCTTTCTCATACTTAAGAAAATCAATTTGGAGTTTATAATCCAGCATACAGAAAATGAGAAAAACTTATTTATAGGCCATCCACCAACAAGCAATGTTTATATAGAGAGATTAAACTCATTAAAGAAGACAAATTATGTTAAATCACAATGAAACATGACAGCGATGATCTAGACCTGAAAGTTCAACATACGGAAAAGAGCATGAAGAAACTGACCACAACAAGATTACGCCAAGCTCCAATGTTGGAAGCAACTGATATGAACCCACAATAAATCTTGTGAAGCAAATTATGTAAACAGTTGAGTGTATTGCCTTCACTCCCATCTTCGATCCATGAATCCAACAATAACAGACACTTAAGGACCAGGGATCCCGCATAAACAAGAGAAGTCAATGCAAGTGGAAAGATCACTGCATGCCACTGTTTCATACATAAAATTGCAATTCAGCAGGCAAAACTATCAGTCATCAATTCCTTATCTGCAGAGCGTCAATTTTGAATATGATAACTGCATATGCCAGAATCCAGTTCTCCAAATAGAGATAAGGGTAGATACCAGCCACCCAAAGATACTTACAACATGGTCAGCTTGAATACCATAAAGGTTTAATACATATGCTATTGTCCAGCTCTTAACCTGCAATATAATTGAGTAAAGAACATTACCAGAATGTCAATAATCATAACAATAAGAAAAAAGGCTATTTAAAGTGGATACGACAAGTCAACAACTGCATATACATATATACAAGCATAAAATGTGTGGCATGGAAAGGAAAAGAGTAAGGACAACATGTAAAAAAGGATTTTTCTTGTTTGATTTCACAAGGTACATGGAGGAAAATGTGGAATATCAAACCATCACAAGTGTCAGCTCTAATCCTTTTAGTTCTAACAGCTAAGCCAGCATCATCAAATAATTCTTTGTACTTAACTACAAAATTTTCTTACTTTAGCGCAGTTCAGCAACTCCAGGCAAAATGTCTAAACAAGACTCCTAAATCGAAAACTTTGATTATCTGTCACTTCATCTAACTTATTACTTACCCAATTACCGTATAATACATGTGATCATTTTCCCAAACACCTACAGGTCATGATTCTTAGTATATATGCCCCAAGCATAAGAGACCGAGGGATGAAATTCTATATATATATATATATATGTATGTATATATATATATGTATGTATATATATATATATATATATATATATATATATATATATGTATATATATATATATATATATATATATATGTATGTATGTATATATATAGGGGAAGACTCTCGTGAGAATTTTTCTTATATGAGAATTTTTCTTATGTGAGAACACTCTTTATGTTCTAAATTTTTACTCGTATGCTCTAAACTTTTTTTTAGGTGTTCTAAATTAAATCAAATGTTCTAATTTATTACTCACATGTTCTAAACCATAAATTAGTTAAGCTTGATGTCATAAATTTTAAATAACTTGTTCCAAACTTTTAACTTTTATGTTCTAAATTTTAAAACGTGTGTTCTAAGATTTTTAATTATATGTTCCAAATTTTTCTAAGATTTTTTAATTATATGTTCCAGATTTTAAAGCGTATGTTCTATTTTTTTTACTCGTATGTTCTAAATTCTTTACTCACACTTTCTATATTCAATATCAGTTTGTTCTAAATTTTTATTCACATGTTCATAATCTTAAATCAAGTGTTCTAAATGTTACTCATATGTTTAAAATTTCATAAAGCAAATTTTATAAATTTTTAATCACTTGTTCTAATTCTTAAATCAGATGTTCTAACATATTACTCACACAAATGTTCTAAATTATTACTTATATGTTTAAAATTTTAAGTTGAGTCACATGTTCTAAATTTTAACTCGTATGTTCTAAATTTTTACCCACATGTTCTAAATTTTAAATCAGTTCTCATATAAGTATGAATTCTCACATATGGACCTATTCTCATCGGATCCCTCCCCTATATATATATATATATATATACCACTACACCACCTGCCAACAGCAACATCCACCACCACCCCACTCGCCGTTACCACGTAACCACCACCACCTTACCTAGGCCTACCCCGTAACCACCACCACCATGATCCGAAACCCCACCAGCTAAATCGCGGAACCCCATCACCTGAGCGAAATTGCGACAACGTGAAACCTCAGTAGCCAATTAATCGCGAAAACCCACCACCTGAGCGATGCAACATCGCGAACCCCACCATCCAGATCTGAAACCCCACCGACGCAACCAAGATCTGAAACCACCGCAACCAATCTCACCCAGTTCGCAACCACCACAAACCACCCTTTACACACTCTCTCACCACCGCAAACCCTAATCAATTTTCAGGATTTCAATTTCCAGAAGGATCGGTGACAATATCATGGAGGAGGAGGCCGGTGACTCGATTGGCGGTGGATCTCGGCGCAACAGGGGTAGGTTTGGACGACAGAGGCGACTTGGGGGGGGGGTTTCACGGAGACATCAATGGAGGAGAGGTGCTCTGGGGGATTCGGGGTTGGGACTGGGTGGGTGTGTGGGCGATTTCGGCTGGTGTGGATCGAACCGTTGCTGTGAGAGAAGCGCGAGAAAAATGGTGGTGTCGGTGGCAGTGGCAGTGGCAGTGGCGGCTACGAGGCAGGTGAGAGAAAAGTTGGTGATAATGGTGGTGGAGGTGGTTGTGAAGGAGGAGAGAGATTGGGATGGGTTTAGATGATTGATTAATTAATTTTGGTTAATATGTTAATAACATATAATCTTAATCATTTAATATTTGTTAGTAAAGTTAACTAAGGGTACATTGGTCATTTTAAGTAAAAAAAATTAGTAAAAGGGGAAAGTTTTAGTTTGTTGCAGATAATGTGTAACATCCATTTTTAGAAAATGTTGCACATAATGCGTGGCGGAGGAAGTATATATATATATATATATATATATATATGTATGTATGTATATGTACATACAACATATATATATACATATACATATATATAATCCTAGACTTTTTTATTTTTTATATTTTGACAATTAAAATAAGATTTTATTAATCACCGAGAGCAAGAAACCAATACCCCGAAATTTAGCAACAGCTAGCAGCCTAACAACCAAACAAGCCTAAAACATCAAACAACAATAAGAAAGTTTCTTCGATCTCATTACAATGACAGGCAACTCTAAAAATAACAACCCTCAACAATGCAGCAGCAGTCATATGTCGTTGCTGAAAAGCAACCTCGTTCCTCAAAATCCAAATCGAATATAAGCATTTTGAAAAGAACATCACGTAGAGCTTATGCATAAGAGTACTCCGTTTCCCACACTTAATAACCCATTGCAACTCAGCAGCAAAAAATCAGGACCTCTCTGAAATTTCAAAAATTGCAGAACAGCAGACCACACTTGAAACAAGAAACTACACTGGAAAAGAAAGATGATCCACAGACTCAGCACAAGAGCCACATCAACTTATACAGGATATCAGAAGTAATACCCCAAACAGGCAACCTATTAAGAGTAGGCAGCCTGTTACAAATAGCCAACCAGGTAATAAACAGGCTACGAGGAGAAGCTTGGTCATTACAGATCACTCTATTCCAGTTAACCTTGACATGAGAACCATGGAGATATTGATACATTTTCTTAATAGAAAAGGTACCATTTAGAGAAAGCAGTTCCATCCACCAGCATTAGTAACCACTTGCAAACATTCAAATATCTTCCTTAGAGCCCGGGATGACTATGAACCTTGAATCCTAGAATTGATTCTTGCTATTTAACAAAAAGCAATGGTGTCACAGAAATGGCATGACTAATGAATCTCTGGTGTTTCAAGAATCCATATTTTGCAATTGGAATAGCTCACCACCATCTTTGAATTTTGCGTTCATACTCTTGTTAAGATACCGTCAAGATAAGAAATAGATTATGTGTAGCATCACCAACACCATGCCCACTAAAGAGTTTAAGCAACATGGAACATGAATGCTTCAAGACAGACTACAAAACTTGTTCTAAGACTTCATAAACGCCAGTTTTGAGACACTACTAATCTACAATACAAATCACTGTAGTAGCAATTGATGATAGCTAAACCCAAATGTCCATTGTGTGTTCTGATAATAATAATTCTAATATGTGGTATGAAAAAAAATTATAAAGAAGCTACCTAGAAGTGCTCTGTTCATGCAAAAACAACAAAAATAGGTCAGGTGTACAATTTTCTCACTAGCCCCACAAAGCTTTTGAAGAACCAAAAGGAATACTTAGTTTCAAACTTTTAAATAGGAGTATAATTATTCAATACAAAAGTGTCAATTGTTATACATGACACTTCCAGGAATTTTGGCGTGCTTAGGATGCAATGAATACTTATTGATAACATGTAATGTGTTATCATTCAAAATTCATCCTTCCTACGTTCTTTCGAGTACCTTACAACGTGAGATGAAAGGTGTGGGTAACCTGCACTTAACACAAAACAAACCCCGAACAAAAAACTTAAATTCCAAGCATTTTGTACCTATCTATTATTGTCCATTGTCCAAAGATTCAAACTAAATCTCATATAATACACTCCATTGAGGCCTCTACTAAACACAGGGCTTCAAAAGTCTGTATATTCAAAATTCCCAAAACCGAAGAATTCTCATCACCAATCTATTACCATTTAGACCTTCAACACTCTCAACTGATCATTGATTACCACACATCAAACGCTTATTCGATCCTATTAGTCCCGGAGTCAAAGTTTCAGCAATAAAATCTACACATATCCGAAACCATAACCAATACTTATTACTTAATCAACTCATAATCACCTTATTGTAACCAGTTTCTCCACACAATAACCACAAAAACAACATCAACTCTATTTGAATATAGAGCTCAATCATAGCGAAATCACAATACAAAAACCAAAGACAATTTCGGAATAAACTTACAGCAATAAATAATCATATCGTTGTATTGTGAAACATCAACTTTATTCAAAATAACAGTTCAAACATTGATAAATCACAATACAAAAAATCAAAGACAAATTCGGAATGACAATTTACAGCAATAAATAATTATATTGTTGTACTGTGATTTCAGTAAAAATCAAAATTAATCCAAGTTTTAATCAGTTTAATTCATTAAAAATCAAATTTAATACGCTGAAATCAGTTTCAATGTGCAAAATCAAGATTAATTTAAAGCAGAATTTCAACACAAATTAGCAAAAAAATTAAAAAAAAAAATGAATCAAAAAGTAAGGTGATAGGAAAGAGCTTACAGGAAGTAGTAGAAAAGAGGAAATGAAGACACAGAGAAGAGAAGAAGCGGCGGCACAAACGAAGCGTCGAATCATGAATTGCTGGTAAGAAGTAGGAGAAGGAAGTCGGAAGATTAGCGTCGGAGCGTAGAGAATAGCGACGTAAAGCAAAGTCATGGCGACGCAAGCTGTTACTGCCGTTGATTTTGATAAGGTCGCCATTGTTGATAGTTCTTCTCCGACCTCCATTGTTGTAGCTGAAGAACAAGATGAAGATTCAAGTAATTGATTAATTGATGGTAGCAGTAGTTGATGATTTTGAATTTTTGGTAGTACCTGAATGAATGAATTAAGGAATCTTTGATTGGGAGAGGACATAAATTTTTTTAGTGCGCCGCTTAATTTTGAGTCAAGCTTCACTGGTTGACTGAAAATATGCTAATGATGATGGGTCGGGTTTGGTTGAGTCTATTGAGCTGGGTGCGATTTAAGTTTGAATCAGCTACGTTATTGCATCGTTGTCCTTATAAATCAAAATCTAAATCTGGTTATTTCGGGTTGGTCGCGTTTGGTTTTAATACCTGAAGTCAAACCACTAATGTATTATATATATATCCCGAAGGTAGTAGGACTACGAGAAATATCAAGTTTCTCTTATTGATAAACAAAATATATTTCATAAATGGCAAAGTTGTACATAAATGTAACTTTTTTATGGTACTAACCAGTACTTGAAGTAGCGGTTATACCAAAACCGCTACTTGAAATAGCAGTTTAGGGATAAAACGCTACTTGATTGATTCCTGTAATATTACAATTTTTCCCTTTGATTAATGAGCTTTGTTTATTAATATGAGAAATTGGGGCAGCCTATAGGAATACTTTTATTAATTAAAGCATAAAATTTCTATCACAATGTTTAAATAGGAAGAAACTTGGTCTATGACTCTATGCTCTTTGCGGGCGAAAGAATTGAATATAGGGCCTTTCTATTTACGAATTTATAAAGAAAAAACAAACAAATAAACAAATTTTTCACCAAATGCCCTTGAGTTATTTTTTTTTAACATATATCCATGAAAGTTTTCAAATGCACCATATACACTTGAGTTTCATAAAAATGTCACCAAATGACTAACGAGCGTTAACTTCGTTAGTCATTAAGGGGTAAATTTGCCATGTGGAAACTTGTGATTGCCTAACATTTATATTAATTTACTTTTAATATGATTATTTTATAATTATAAATAAATAAATAATAAAAAAAAAAAAAACCACCCACCACAGCCTAGCTCTGCCACCACTATAATACCCCTCATGATTGCTTTAAAGGATTTGATATACTACTCATATCAACAAGAAGCATCTTCTTTTTAGGGAGCTCATATGCTAAAATACTCCACAGTTAAGCGTGCTTAGTTGGCCCTCGATGCGCATTTTGTGACAATAGGCGCCTCCATAATTTGTTTGTGGTCGGGATGTTACAACCTCCTTGTCCCCACGGTTCGTCAGTCTTGTCAGCGCTAGCCCGAACCCGACACCCCACTTGTCGATCCCCCTTTGCTTCCCCTAAACCACCCATTCCCCAATCCCAATAACACCTTCCTTTCTCCCTCGAAAACCCCCTCCCCACCACTGGCGTCCATACTCTCATTCCCGCGCCGGCGAACCCAAACCGACCCTTCCCTTGCCATCTCCATTCCCTAAACCATCTCACTGAAACCTTAAAATAAAAAAATTAAAAAAAAAAAACCCAAAATTGAAACCCTAGATTTTAACTTTTAGGATTTCAACTTTTCGATTTTGGGGTTTTCGTGAGTGGTTTTCGAGGGAGGGAAAGTGATTTTGGGGTGGCTGCGAGCGGTGGTCAGCGTCGGCGGGGGAGGGAGCAAGGCTGCTGGGGTTCGTTGATTCCGGCTCTAGAGCGGGGAGGTTAGGGGTTGTGCTAAAGGAAAGAGAGAGCTTTATGTTTAGGAGTCTCAAGGAGGGGTGAGGATGTTAGGGAGAGTTTGCTAGCGGGGAAAGGGGCTGGCCGGTGCCGCTGATGTTGGCTGGCTAATGGGGTTAGGAGTGGTGGATGTTTTTTTTTTTCTTTATAAAAAAAATTTTAAAAGCTTTTTTCTTAATTTTTTTAATAATTAATGATATAATTAAAAAAAATAATCAATCAAGTGCTGTCACGTGACATAATTAGTCATAATGACTAGCGGAATTAACCACCGTATGTCATTAAGATTATTTGGTGACATTTTTGTAAAACTCGTGCGCATATGGTGAATTTGAAAATTTTCTGGATATATGTTGAATAAAAAAATAACTCATGGGCATTTGGTGAAAATTCCGTAAAAAAAACTTTCAAGTATGGAGCTTAATTTTACTAGTAAACACTAAGGCGTTTGGTTCACATAATTAAGGTATAAGGTATGAGTTTAGAATGGTTTAAACCCATACCTTATGTTTGTTTTATGATTTTAAGAGTTTCAAACCCATACCTCAAACCCCTAAGGTATGGGGTTTAGAAACCTTGGGGGGTGGGTTTGGCTCACTCCCATACTTTTAGGTATTAAATAAAAGAAAAAAAATTGCATACAAAACATATGGTATAAATAATCAAGTTCCAAACTCATACCACTTTGGTTTCATTCTTGATTCCAACTCCATACCAGTTTGCGAACCAAATGCCCCCTAAATGTGTGTATGTGGGTGTGTATACCTAGTATATTATAAAGTCATTCTTCATGTATTATAGTAGCTTAAGAAACAATTTAGCTTTGTTTCTGTTTGTTTTGACATAATACATTTTAGTTGTTTGGTTAATAAAAGGAATTTCCTTTTAAAACGAAGGTATGCCACATTTTCATCTCTACTCTTTACAATCTCTTACCCTCTCATCCGTCTTCTTCCTTCCAATCATATTTTTCCCTTCCTATATAATTTTTCTTGTATTAAATCAAACAAAGGAAAACTATTTTTACAATTGTATTTTCCCTTGAAAATAGTAAATACATTGTATAAGTTATCTTAGGTTGAATTGAGTAAAGTTCAAATCAACATCAATTATAAGTTACTTCAAGACATGTCATGTTCTAGTTTAGCTTTTTGATGGTCAAGTTCCAATCTATTAGTTTATTAATTTATTTCAGGTCTTTAATCAACTTTAATTGTTACTTTTCCGTCAAAATTGACTCTTGATCGAATACATGAGCATGGGCCACAAAAATTATGGCACTAATAACTTTCAATGTACTAAAGGATATCATCATTATTATTCCTTATTATTATTTGAAAGAATTTTTTTATTTATTGTCAAAAATTAGAATCATTTTCAAAAATAATTGTAAAAGAGAAAATCTAGAGAGAAAAAAGGCCATACAACGAGGCCTAAGCTTCCCAATTCAGCTTGGCTTGGCTGGGTGAATCTGCTCAAGAGCCAAGCTTTAACCGAGTCAAAAGCTCAGAGCCTTTCGGCTTAGTTATAATCTTGACTCTAGGTTGAGATTTCTGCACACAACAATATATTCAAGTAACTATTACACTGCAATTACCAACAAGCAACAACTTTGTCCAAAATAAATACTCCTAAAAAGAACTAATTAAAAAAAAAGGCATCGCCAATTTCAGCTCTTTGGGGCAATCTTTAAGTAGAAACTTTGCAAGTACTATGTCAGTTTAGCATAGCTTGATATCTGCCTCTTCTGTAGTTCTGTACTATTCTCGACACTATGGTATGTACATCGAAAGAACACCTAGAACTGCTTGTCAGCATTGACATTGACACCATTACCGACACCTCCAGGCACCTGATTGATTACAAAGAAAAAATCGTAAAATGATACAAACAGGAGGAGAAATTTGGCATCGCATCTAATCATGCCAAGTATCATCAATGTTTCTCCCGTCCCTTACAACATTGATTCAGGTCTTCTACAACACACTACAGCGGCTCAAACACAGTCCGTCTTTCAACGAGCTCAGATAGAACACTCCTCATTTTATCAACGGATATAGGTTTCAATATGCAACCATCCATACCCACCCTGACACAATTTTCTCTGATCAACCTGTCCGTGCTCACAGTGAGTGCCACAATTAACGGTCTCTCATGACGCTTTGAGAACCTTTTTCTAATTTGAGCAGCAACATCAAACTCATCAAATCCAGGCATAGACAAATCAAGGAATATCACCCTGTATTCTCGGGACACAGCTAACAGACATTCCTCACACGACGCTACAGTTGTAACATCACATCCAAGGTGCATCAGGAGCCCTTTTGTAACTGTTCTACTAACCCTGTAGATAATTACCCGACGTATGCATTAGAGAGTAATTCAATTGGTAATTAGTAGCATTTACTAGTCTAATCCGGCACCAAGCATAGAACAGTTTCTATGAGAGAGCACATCATGACACTTAGATGCAAAACTAAAGACAGCCAGAAATCCAATAAAAAATAATCTGCTGTTATAAACTGAAGCAAGCAAGATTATAAGCCAGAAATGGTTCCTTTCAGAATCAGACTACTTGAAAAATAATGCTCTCCAGTAATGTAAAGATCAGTAAAAAGATATTTGCAAAAAGGTATGTCACCTTATAAATCTAAATATGAGCAAAGTGGACATGCACACCAAGTGATATAGGGATCAGTAAAGAGAAATTTGCACAATAGTATGTCCCATATAATGCACAAAAGTACGTCCCATTATAACACTAAATATGAGCAAAGGGTACTTGCAGAACCAGTGATAAGTCTATTCAACAATTGAAGCGCATTACTTGCTTTTAATTCCTCCGTTTGTCTACATGTGTCAGCTAAAGAGAAGCATGATTCTATATCCCTCGCCTCAAAAATCACTTCAGTTGTCAGAAAAAGTACAACATGATGAGCAGCGATCTATGATGTTTACTGTATTCACATAGCAACATCCTTCTGTAAAAGTCTTATTAAAATGTAAAATGCTATTGACCTAGTTAATTAGTGAATGAAATTTATGCATTTGAAGCTTGATATCCAGACAGCTCACAACAGCAGAATAAAAGCTAATTTATGCACATGCTAGCCTATGATAACCTGAGAAATAATAACAATAAGCATCAGCTAAACTTCTTAATGTATAAAAGAGAGGTTCATTCATTCATAAGAGTATATATTTTCCCATCACACAAAAATCCTAAAACCTAAAGACTTGTAGACATTTATAAAAGACGACTCCTGACATACAAGGCAACCTCATAATTTCTCAAATTAAAATTCTCCTTTTGGTATTAAACAAACAGCTGCCAATGTTTTGTAATTCCCACCCCGAGAACAAATAACATTTTTTTCTGTTAATATGTTTACTACATACAGCATTAGTAAAGTCAGCAATTACCCAAAAATTAAAGTGAAAGTTTTAAAAGAGATGAGATTTTGACAGGGAAAAGGAGGTGTATGCACATGCGGGGCAAACAAACATACACACAATTGATAGCTGTGTTAATAAAAGGCTACTGAACACGATGAAAGTGAATATTGGGAAGGAGGAGATAATGATGGTTTGATTGTAAGTAGTGATGGTATGGTAAGATGTGAAGAAAGGGGAACTATTACCCTCATTTTGGGGGTAATAGTTATAAAAGGGGAGGGTGGGTAAGTATTACCCTCATTATGAGGATAAAGATTCCTCCATTTCTCTGTTTTCCTCATGTCACTACTACTCGAGTTCATTTGCAAACACTTATTTCATACAACACCACCTCTAATCAATTAAGTTTTTCCTAGTTTGACTTTTATTACCCCTTTGATTCATTATTCCCAATCCAAGCGTGGCCTCATTGGTAAAGAGAGTAATTGAGGGATTCAATTCTCCAACATTCACTCTATCATAGGGTATTAAGCTTGCTTGTCATCATCTAGGCTTATATCTCACATTGAGGATGATCCCGGTAGATCTTGTGTGTCAACTGTTTGTTGCTTTCTACTATTATTTAACGAATTTGGATGATCCCGACAGTGCTTTAAGCATAAAACCATAGAAGGCTCAATCTTAAACTAATTTGGAAGTGCCATGTAAGTACCCTCATTCTCCAACCCCAACAGCTCAACCCTCACAAAACAACAAAAAAATAGGGAGTATCTACAACTTACCCATTCTCATCCATAATGAGAACTTTTAGGCCACTAAAGCTTGATTGAATATGATTTGCCAATGGATTAGGTGCAAAAGGGACCACGGCTCCATTTGATCGATCAGGACTTCCAAGTTTAACTACAAAAACCGCTGTGCAACCCTTGCCAAGACCTTCACTTTCGATCCAGATGCTGCCTTCCATGAGACTTACAAACCTAATTTAAAAATTATCCAATACATAACACATCAGTCTAGAGTAACGTAATATATATCAAACAGATTAGCCACAGTTGATATAAGACAGCCCAAGGCTTTGTTAGAAACAGTATCGTGAGAAACTAGGAAATTGTGTGATTGCAAATAATTTGGCATCAATGTCTAATGATTTATTCCTCTATTTCATAATGCTCTTAACACATTTAATTTTGTCCATTTCATAATATTCTTTACATATCTACTTTATGCCATTTTTGGCAAACCCCTTTTACTAACTTACCTCTCTTACCTAACAGTATTTACACCTTTCCACTCACTCTCTTCAACCTTATCCACCTATGTCTTACACCAACCCACCTTTTTACACTATCTCTCTTACTTTATGTCTTTATCCACCTTTTTTTTTTTTTACAGCCACCAACATCTTTATATTTTCTCTCTCATTAGCCTATATTCTTGTGCAAACAAGAAACGTTAAGAACATTATTAAAAAAAAGCTTGTATGTTTTTACTCCGTATAAGATTGCTTAATGATATAGCCACTTCAACAAATAAGCCAAGTTACCGCTTGCAAATGGCGAGGCCCAGTCCACTACCACCAGAATTTCGATTTGAAGGTGTTTGAGGTTGAGCAAATTTTGTGAAGAGCTTTGGAATATCTTGCGGATTGATTCCAGGTCCTGAATCCTTCACCTAAACTCGATGAAGTCAGTAGAGTCGAATAAATAAAGGTTGTAAAAAAAAGGATTTAGTTTTTTTTTTTTTTTTTTTTTTTTTTTTTTTTTTTTTTTTCTGTTAAATAATGAAATCAACCTGCACTCGCAAATAGAAGTGATCATCTGTGGCCACTGGGATGAAATCAGGAGTCCGAGCATCTCTTAAACATTCTGCTTTTGCAACTAGAGCAGTAACTGAGACACTACCTTCTTTTGTAAACTTCACAGCATTACCAATAACATTCAACAGAACTTGCATTAGACGTTTTTCATCGCCAATAGCAAACTCTGGAACATCCGGAGCCATAGTAGTTGTTATCAACAATTTTTTGACAGATGCTATGGGCTTGATTAAATTAAGAACCTGCATCAATAGTCATGCACCTTAGAAGACTGAAAGCCATTATCATGTAAAGAACCACAATATCACCACATAATTTGATTCTGACAAAAATATAGCATGATCAAAACAAATCAACTGAATATTAAAGGGAACACTCAAAACTCAAACAAAAAGAGGGGGGGGGGGGGGGGAGGGGGCAAAAATGCAAAATTATGAAAGTGAAATGAAAATATTTTATGCACAATGGAATAAATGCACTACAACAGTAAAACAGCAAATGAACAGATAAACTGTCATTTTTACCTCTCTAAACATAGAATGGAGATTGAATACTCCATTATCAAGCTTCAGACTTCCATCTTCAAGCCTCGAAAGGTCCAAAACATCATTTATTAGGGTTGCAAGAAGATTACTGCTTTTTAAAATTGCTTCAACCATCAATCGTTGCTCAGGAATAAGCTCAGTTTCTTGCAACAAGGAGGAAAGAGCTATTATTGCATGCATAGGAGTCCGCATTTCATGATTCATCACAGCTAAAAAGTCATTTCGAGCGCGGATGGCAGTCTCCGCTTCTCTGCGAGCCAAGTCAAGTGCAACATTCTGCTCCAAAAGTTGCTGTTGAGCTCTCATTGATTCTTCCAAAATTGCCGCATGGGACAGAGCAACTGCTACCTATATCATACAGAAAATGGAATACATGAATGATAAACGTCCACAAAAATAGAAAAAATATTTAACTAATTATTGCTTTGTCAATGAAAAAAGTGTAACATTCAACCACAATCAGTACACGAAGAAAAGCGCATATTAAAGAGAAACCACTTGAGTCTTATGCTATCAGCCTATCACTATTAAATTGCAGCTGTTAAATGAGGAAGATGACATCAAAACAAAAGTTTACACAAAGCTTTTTTAAACATAGAAGTAATTTAAAATTGATATGTGAGAGGTCAAAATAAGTTCTCCTAAACTAGAAATGTTGATATGTAACCCAACCAATAGCTCTGCCTGGAATTCAAATTTTTTTTTTTTTTTTTTTTTTTTTTTTTGGTGCTCAAATTTTGTTTTTTATTGGAATATCTGAAACTCAATTGAACCCTAATTTCAAATAGTCAAATTCAAGAGCTAATTTAGCTGAACAAGAAAATGAACCAAATCCATCATGAACAACAATGATGACTGCTAATTCTGATATCAACCTTGAAGTTCACTCATAGTCTCAAAATAATACAACTTTTTAAAACTGTCTTGCCATTTTCTATTTTCAAACTTCTATTTTTTGACAGGTATCATATTAGCTCCAATTTTGCACAATTAACGGGGAAAAAAAGATAAAAAAAGAAGAAAAAAAAAAAACAACAATTACTCAATTATATGTTGGAAAAGAAAGAATACAAGAGATAAAGACAAAAAAAGGATGGAAAATAGACGTCAAAGACTCAAAGTTTATAGTTGAGAAATTGCCCAAATACTACTAACTACTAAGTCAATACTTGACTGAAACCTAAGTTGCTTGTAGTGGATACTGACTGAATCAACTCTCTAAAATTTGAATCAATACAGACCATGTTAGCACAAGCGATTTCAGTCATAAAATGATTTTTTAGCTCTGAATACAATGGCATATGAAAATGAAATAACAATGCCCAACCAGTGTGTCCTTAAAATCTAGAACTTACATTAGTGGACTAGACATACTCCATCTATTTCATACGATTGCTTATCCAGGTTGACTCTAGTTTGAGCTCACTTAACAAAATCATCAATATTCATCAGCAATACAAACCTTCAACCTCTCAAGGTGTTATCAATACAGCAGTCAACAGTGTCTACTAAAACATTCCGCAACTATTCAATATTATACAGTTGTAACTAAAATTTGATGCTCCTAAATTATACAAGGTTGGGACAATGTGATTCCAAAAGGGTAAAGTATCTATGTGTTGTCCACTTTTAGAGACAATTACAAAAATTGAGTTAATTTTCTAAAAAACCTGTATTGGGATAACAAATACAGGGTTTTTTAGAAAGTACATCTCAAAAGTGATAGTTAATGAATGATATTTGCCTACACAAACTATATCTTATAGGCTATTGCCTATGTGGCTTCACTAACAAGGATATATTTATCAATAATTTGTTATCATGTGCTAGTTACATAAGCTTGACAGGCATCATACATCAGTTCAACTAGAAAACACAGCAGTATAACTTAACATATAGCATGTATGAGGATCCAACATGATAAAATAGCTTGACACAAACGTACCTGATCTGCAACAACTTCAACAAGCTCCAATTCATGAACATGCCATTGCCTAGCACTGTCTGAAGGAAGCATCAAAACCATCAACGCATACCGTTTTGTCGATAGCTCTGGCCAATCATTAATTTGGAAGTTAGATAGATGCAGAAGGGGAACTCGCACAGCAACCACCTCTCCAGGCATGTACTTCCCTGCGACAGGCCGGATTCTAGCCACAGGACAGTTTGGTGATATTTTCACTGCACGATTGGTGCTAAATACTTGATTGATTACAGGAAGCTGAATGGGCACAGTAAATCCAACAGGATTTTGTTGGCGGAGTGTATAAGCTAACTGAAGCTCCAATCCAGTACGTGTTGGCATCCACAAAGCACACTCTTCAAGAGCCAAAGTCCTACCTAGTTCCACAAGAGTAGTTTTAAGAATTGTATGCCGGTCAAGAGTACTTCTAATCTCATGAGTTAGCATCCTAACATGCCTGCCTGTTTCTTCTTGGGTACGGATGAGGCCCATCTCTCTATCAAGTTCTGCAGCCTTATTTTTTAAAAACAATTCCCTAGTTTTTACACTTAATAAATCCGGAATAATATGCACAAGCATCAGTGCAGTTGCACACGAGACAACAGCGGTTAGAACCTTTGCAGTGGTCATAACTACTTCAACTGTTTTGGTATGTATTCTAAAAGTCCACAAGTTAATTAGATGTGTTGCGCCACAGAGCACTATAAAAGCACCAAACTGGACAAGCACCCATCTATAAGGGAAAACAGCAGATTTCTTAACAAAGTAAATCAGCTCCAATGGGATCGAAAAATATGCAAGGGCTATGAAAAAATCTGATATATACTGATACTTCATCAACAAATCATCAGGAGGCCATTGTGGTTCAATACAATTGCACGACTCCATCTAGAACAAACAACACCAATTCAATCAACTACTGCTTCCTAATGCCTGTCAAAATACACAAATACATCAAACAATCAACTTCCATCCGAAAATGTTCAAAAGAAACTTAGCTCGGCGACCCATAGACACACACACATCCAAATCAGTAATACATAAACATCATGGAATCATGTCATCCTATGATTACTACAAAACTCAATTTGAGCTTAACAAAACCCAACAGACAGTACCCCCGATTCAAACAATGGATTAATTTCAGAATCACTTACAATCCAGTATAAAGATAAGTAAAATTAGCACTTATACTTTCAAGAGTAGCTAAAGCTTAATCAACCTGTTGCACCATTCAAGCACATTTTCATAAATTACAAATTCACTCAATTAATCCAAACTACTAGCAATTATCATCAACCCCACATAAAGCTACTACTCCATCTCTCCATTGGAACTTAATTTAATAAATTATATTTATTACGGCATTAATTAATCCAAAATTTTCACAACAATAGTTCAAATTACACTATCACGGCGACAAACAATTGAAAATTTCAACGTTACTAGTTCAAATTACACCATCACATGGACAACTAATTCCAAATCGATGGAGTAATAACTCCATACCCAATCAAAATCTCAATCAATTCTCCACCAAAACTTTAAAAAATCGAAAACCCAACAATCAATTCCAGATAATTACAAAAACCCTACTCAAAAATCACACAAAACAATCAAAATCAAGTCTTTAAAAAATAAAAATTGAAAAGATCAGATGAAGAAATAAATTAAGTAAAAATTAAAGACAGTCAACTTACCCACCAAAAATTAATCTTCAAAAAATTGAAGAGAGAAACACGATCATGAGAGAGAAAGTTAGACAGTAGTTAGACCCCCGAAGTATACATTTTTCACAAGAAAGGAAGACAATTTTTGTTAATTTTTTTTTTGGTTTTTGCTTTTTATTACAAAAAGCGGTGGAACTGAGATAAAATAACGCTGCTGTGATGGTGACATTTGTCACTGTCCATTGAACTTGGTTTAAAAGAGGGAATGTGGGGGCCACATATCTAGAAGACTAGAGCTACTTGAGAAGATTTAGGTCACAGACAGAATATGTACTGTTTTAGCAGGTGCTCCAATTATCAGGTTAGAGTTACTCTACTGTACATATAGTAGTAGTATTATTATTATTTTATTTTTTTTGAAAGAACATATAGTAGTATTATTGTTGTACTTAAAAAAAAATTGGTATAGTATTTTTTTTTCAATTTAAAGTGTCAAATAGTGTATCTAGAGTTTTGATTTCTCTTACCCATTTTGTGAGATTTTGATTGAATAAGCCTAAAATACATACAATAAAATCAAGCTAAGTTTGATCAAGAGAAAAGAAAAACACTTTCAATCAGTGGCGGAATCACATTGGAACATGAATAAAACAATTAGATTTTATTTATAAAAAAACGATTTGCACTTGTAGGATATAGTTTGTAGTCTACAAATATGTTCTTCTATTGCATATGTCATCCGTGACAATATATGTCTTAATGTTGATGTGTTTTGTTACCATCGGCCCATATTAGGGTTTGAAAGGTAGAAATTTCGAATTATGATAGACATTTGTTCAAGATCTATATGAATATGCTATTTTGGATTATTGTGATGTAAAAATCTTATTTTAATTATTAAAAGTGTTGGTAAGGGCTATCTAAGTTCTATTTATCGCTTTTTTTTTTGGTCAAGTAAGTTCTATTTATCGCTAATAGGTCTAATAAGGTTTGATAAATTTAGATACAGATCAGATAAGTTAAAATTAAATGAATTACAGATAAATTTGATAGTCCGGTATTTGGATGTTGCTATCCCCTCCTCTCCTTATTTTGTATCATTAAGAAAGGTAAAGCTATGTGTCTTATGATGATGTTACTATCCCCTCCTCTCCTTATTTTGTATCATTAAGAAAGGTAAAGTTATGTGTCTTATGATTGTTCATTAAGGACGAAACAATTCCAACTGTTAGTGGATAGTCAAACACCCAAACATGCTGCAGAATAGTTAACCAATTATGGGGCTGAATAGCAGATTTAATGGGTGATGTTTGAGGCAGTCTCGACTCTTGAATGATCTTTGTGTAGTCAATAAAATAGCTGATGTGTAACATGGGCTAGAATGGTGTTGGCGGTGGCGTTAGCGGCTTCATGTTTGTTTTAGATTCTTGTTTAATGTTATACTACCTCTGTTTTTTTTTTTTTTTATTAATTGATACGTTTTGACATTAATATTATGTACACACTTTTCTTTGACTGTATTTTGTGATTTATATGTAATGAAAAATATAGTAATGTAAGATCTTGTTAGAATCGTCATGATATATATTTTTTAAATATAAACTTCTTATAATTTTTGCTAATCGGAAATTAAAGATATTAGTGATTGAATTTGAGCATTGACAAACGTGACTAAAGAAATATGTCAACTAAAGAGAGGAAGTATATACTTCGAATTAATATAATCATACTAATGTAAGCAAAAAAAAAAATGTTAGATTGAATTTGGCGTAACTGCTGAAAGTCAATATTAAACTGATAATTAATATGGTGTTTGAAATTAGGACAAATTAGGCAGCCCTAAAACAAACCTCAAGAACTCAACTAACATTATATTTGCTCCAATGAGATTGGTTGAAACAGGTGTACTTACCCACTTCCCCTTCTCTTTACACATTCTTTTAAATACCTGAACAAGTATCAGCTGCTCCTCTAAAAGCCAAAATGGATTCTAAATCTAAACACATTTCACATGGTGAGAATGGTACATTAGAATGGGAAATTCAGGAGGATGAAGAGCTATTCGACATCAATTTAGCACTAGTCGACAACATTCCGCCACCCAATTACTATTGGGAGAACTACGTACTGTCAACAGGTAACGCACTCCTTGCCAATTGTCTATTGCCTGTAACTCATCTCTCAACCGCAGTTCCTGTGAATTCAGGGGAGACTGACCAGAGTGATCACCATATTCTGTCGGTTTCAGTCTTGAGTTTGCCTGACGTGCAGATCCCTGGTAAATCTAAAAAGTTTCCCTTGTTACAGACATTGCAAAGCAAACACTTGAGCTGGTTTTATACCACTTACATAAACAGGCAAACTGAGACTAGTGAGTTCTAATGTATTAGTATTATTTAGGAACTTCCATCAAAAATCCATAGTACTCATATGTAGTTCTCGTGCAGAAATTTAAGATTAGCTTTTAAAAATATAATTTCATGATTGCGAGTCATGATACGCTACTTAAGTTTTTACATCAGAAATACATTTCACCACTTTGGTGGCACTCCAATCTGATTTTTTTCAGAAAATTATTCTTGCACTTCTTACTTCTATGGTTCTTACTCTAACAGTACTGAATCCTTATTACTTCGTATATGACAATTGACAAACATTAATTGGCCATCTTACACATACTCGTATAGTCGTATAAATTAAACACAAGTGCAAAAAGAACTGACAGAAAGGATAAACATAGGGTGCAAAATAGCAATCACATGAAAAAATGCTCATCATTATCTCAACTTGGTGATAAGAGTGGATGCCTATGTATTCCACAACCGTCCTCCAGGTTCCTCAACAAAATAATAAAACAAGATGAACGTATACCTGTAACTGAAATTAGAATTCCCTGAAATAGAAGCAATCAAGACACCCTCACAACCATCTTGTTTTTCTTCCCAGCAGATAGCAAGAGAACTTTACCATCCACAATATCATCAGCCTCAATCCTCTTACTCTCACTATCAACTCGGCTGTTATTTAAATAAAGCCCCCCTTGCTTCATCATACGACGAACAGCAGACTTACTTTCAAGCAACCCTGACAAAACCGAGAGATCAACAATAGAAAGATTTAAGATTTCATTGTAAGCTAATGAACAGGAGGGCACGTCCTCAGCAATCCCTTCAATTGTCTTCCAGTCCAATTTAGTCTCAGCACCAGGCCTCAAAGCCTCAGTTGCCTTAATAGCCTCTTTCAAACCTTCTTCCCCATGGACAAATCGTGTTAGTTCTTCCGCAAGCCTTCTCTGAGCTGAATTTGGCACATATCCTGGTCTCCTCATCTCACTCTCAATTTCTTCTATCTCCTCTATTTCAAGGAAAGTCAATATTCTCAAAAATCTAACCACATCAGAATCAGGAACCGTGAAGAAATATTGATAAAACTTGTAAGGGGACAGCAATGCAGGAGATAACCAAATAGCCCCTTCCTCCGATTTCCCAAATTTTGACCCATCGCTCTTCAAAAGAAGAGGAAATGTAAGCCCATATGCTCCTTCTACAGCCATAATCTTCCTAATCAACTCGGTCCCTGCGGTTATATTCCCCCATTGATCACTACCACCAATTTGGACAGAGATTCCCTCATTCTTGTAAAGATGAAGAAAATCATACCCCTGCAATAACTGGTAACTAAATTCAGTAAAGCTCATCCCTTGTTCCGATTCTAGTCTCTTTTTAACACTCTCTTTTGACATCATAACACCAACTCTAGCATACCTCCCCACATTTTTCAGAAAATCAAGGAAACTAACATCCTTCCACCAATCAAAATTATTCAAAATCACAAATTTATCATCACCAAATTTACTCAAAATCATATTCAAAATAGATTTAATACCTCTAATATTCTTTTCTAGAGTTACATCATCCAAATCTGGCCTTTCAGTGGACTTTCCTGACGGGTCCCCAACACGGCCAGTGGCACCACCAAGTACAGCAACTGGTTTGTGGCCGCATCTCTGGAACCAAGAGAGGACAATTATGCCAATTAAATTCCCTAAATGCAGACTCTCCGCTGTTGGGTCGAAGCCACAGTAGACCTTCAACGGCGGATGATCATCCTTCAAGGAACAAGCAGAGCGGAGATTTTCACTAGTGATTGATTCAATAAGGCCTCTTTGCTCAAGAATATCAACCACATTTCGGCTTAGTTGCCAGTCCTTAGGGGTGATGGCAGTGAGTTCAGGAGACCGGGATGCTAGGGTTTGGACAGGGCGGCCTTTGAGAAGAGAGAATGAGGAATTGGAGGCAAAAGTTGAGATTCCATAAGTGGGGCACAGTGGGAGGAGAGAGAAGCAATGACGGTAGGAGAGTAAGGATCTTGTAGCAACTGGTACTGTTACAATTGCAGTCATGGATGAATTCTTAGAGATAATACGGAGAGCAGAAGACAATCAGCACTGTGATTGTTGTAAAAATTCAGAGTCCAAATATAGAGTAAAGCAACTTTCAAAGGACGATAACAATTAAAACTTTGGTACCCTGAAGCAAGACAAAAGATTAAATTAAGTTCAGTACAGTATTTTGGAAGAAGCTTGCGCCCCTGGTGCTTTTTATTTATTAAATAATACAAGGAAAATTTTAGCTGAACAAAAAAACACAGTAAAAGAATGGAATGAAAAAAGTGGGGTGGGTGGGTGGGGGGGGGGGGGTTCTGACAGAAACCAAAAGTTTATGCTTTTGATTCAAGGATCTCTTTAAATATATGGGCAATAACGAACAACATCACCACATATACCCTGACAGTCTAAATTAAGCAATTCCAACTCCAATCAACTCAAGCAAACTAAAGATGTTTGAAGACTATAATTCAATATCTGAAAGCTAGAAACCCCCAACTTCAGATTTTCCCAACTTTTAAAAAACACCCTTTCTCATGATACATTTCACATAAGACTTTTAGAATTACTGATTACATTTTCCCTTAAACACACAGCAAAGCAGAAGAATGCATTCTAAATTGATTCATTAAAAAGGGAATAAGTGTGTAAACTTTGTTTTGAAAATTCACCTATTCCTTCGCAAAATTCGCCACCCTCCTCCCAAGGGACCCAACACTATTATCCCTCACAATTGAAACACCCCTTTTTTTACTACAAAATCCCATTGAGCGGCTTGCAACCACATGATGGAGTATGATACAACCAAGTACCCAACCCCCCCCCCCCCAACCTCCCCCCTTCCCCGCCTTTTCCTTTTTCTAAGCCCTCCTCTATCCCATTCTGTCACACCTCTCTTCTTCCTTCCCATAGCAAATTTAATTTTAAACAATAAGACCCTTAGATGTAAAACATACACTAGTGAAGCAGGGGAAGTCCCAAAGTTATAACAAAATTGGTACTGAACTATGTAGGAATAAACTAGCTCTTATTGGGTGTTGGGTACTCAGACTACTCACTGAACCACAAAATATAAAACAAAAGTTGTTCTTGTTATAGAGGAAATCAATTTATAGGAAAGGATTTTCCCATTATTCTTTGTTTGGAATGTACAGGGCTGAAATTTCCCAATAGGTGAAATTATATGCTTCTAGCAAAGAAGGAATAATCATTTTCCCTTGTATTACTAATTTTTCTTGTTCCTCTCTTCCCTCCATTTCCACTTTTTATATTTAGCTTTTCAATCAAAGAAATAAACAAAGGAAAGGAATTTCCAGTTTACATTCAGTTCAACATGTTTTCCATTGAACCAAACACAGCCAAAATATAAGTAATCTGCAAGTTCTGAATAGTTTCATGAAATTCAAACTTGTAGAAGCTTATTAAAAAAAATCTATACAAATTGACTTAGCAAATAACACTAGACAATGTCAATTATTATTCCATGAGTATTAAGACAACAGCCTCCAACATCCAATTGCAATCCTAATACTAATACTTCAAGGAATAGAAAAAACCTCTACCATGAATACCATCTCACATCACTTTTTACCAGCTAAATCCAGGTACGAAGTAATTTGGCGAAAGATAACCCAAAAAAGTTATTGTACTGCCTTAAACATTTAACACAATCAAAGCAAGAATTCTTAAATGCAGGGCTACAAAACCCATTTCACTAGTTGGACTACAATTCAATGGGGACTTTAGGTGCCTAAGTTAGACAATTTAGTACTCAGAATGAAAATCCTAACTACCTTAAAAACCATCAAGCAACATTATTATTATTTCAAAGCTCTAAAAAAAGTACGGCATCCTTGGAATCATCTTTGAGGTTCAGTGACGTTACGCATCAAATTGAACAAAGATTTGAACTTGAGAGGATAAAAATTCATTGCTATGCCAGGGAGCACCAGTTGATCTCAATTTCAAAGCTTTTAAGTACAGCTAAAATCAACATATCTAGTTGAATACATAAGTGGGTTTAGATATTCCATAGGTACCCAATTAAAAACTCCACAATAATGCATGTTCAAAAATATTACAAAATAAAATAAATCATAACAACTTAATCATTTTCAGGCTTCATTTAAAAACCAAAACTTTTATATATTTACATATAGAATATTAAATTAAAACCCCGTGACATAGCTTGGATTTATAAACTCCATGGAATAGATCAGCAATCTGCAGTATAATTATAAATGGGTTTATAAACCCACATCTAAATTAGCCAACTACCTTAATTATCATGCCCATTATGATAAAACATTATCAGGTCAAAAATAGTTTTGTGCTTAAAATTTGGACATTAATTATATGACTATATGAGTGTTAAATTCCAATTTACTTTATGAGTGTTAAATTCCAATTCAAATTTTAATGGGTTGAATCCAATATTTTAACTTCCATTATAATACTGTAACTAAGATATGAAAAAACAACAAAAGAGAACACAAGAGTACAAGGAAGAAGAGGTCTAATTTCATAGTTCAATCCTAACATTAAGGGTTTTGGGACATAAGCAATCAAATTTAATTCAATTATAAAATCACATAATTTTTAGAAAGAAAAGGCATAATTGATTCAATCATCAAATTAGGCTCATAATTTTCTACTCTATCAACATAATCGCTCATAACCTTAGTAATTAGAGCCAACAGTTAAAGAATTCGAACATAAATTTACTAAACTGACAATGGGAATTAAATTAGATGAAAGATAAACCCTAGATTGTGAAATTGATATGAAAATTACAAAAGGGAACAAGAACTTACCTCAGAAGCTGCTTGAGAACGTGGAGTGCGCTACAATGGAAAACTGAGAGAGGAGGAAAACGTTCATATTTTTTAGGACAATATTTATCCATTGAACTACTAACCTTCGTCCCTCAAATTTTTTTTTTTTTTTTCCTTTTGCCTCTTTGCAAAAATATAAAATATGAATCAAACTTTAAAATGTTTGACCATAAAATAATCTTAAGGAAATTTTGTGAGAAACCACCCATTAAAAACACGTTTTTGTAAAAATGTCAAAACCACCCAAAAAAAAATTTGTTGTCTAAGACCACCCATTTTCAAAAAAATGTTGTTAAACACCACTGGAGTCTATTTTCCGGCATTGACCTAGACTCCGGCGTTGACCCTTCCCCGGTTCCCCCCTTCTATTTCACCCTCTTTTTTTTTCTCCTCTTCTCATTTGTATTTGCCGTGGTTGTTCTTCTTTTCTCTTCTCCTTCCATTTCTCTTTCCTCTTCTTCTTTGATATATGCTGCTCTTCTCCTTCTTCTTTCTCTCTTTTCTTTCATTTCTCTTTCTCTCTTCTCCTTCCCTTTCTCTTTTCTATTTTCTTTTCGCCAGCGAATTGAAGGGTTGGGTCACGACGCCATTTTGATCTTCTTGCCGGGGTCGGGTGGAGGTGCGGTTGACACGAAATTGATGGTTTTCTGGTCAAATTCGAGGTGACATTCAAAGCAAAATTCGATTAAAGGTATGTTTTCTTGTTTTTAATGTTTTAAAAAAAATTATTTCGTTAAGTTTTGGGTTGTTTATGTGGTTTTGGGCGGTTATGGTGGATGGTTTTTGGTGGGTAGTTGGTCGAAATAGGTGGGGTTAGGGTGGTAGTTCTGGGTTTTTTTTATGTGGGTTTAGGTGATAGATCTAGTTTAGGGTATGGTGGGTGGGTTCGGATTAGGTGGGTTTAAGATCTGGGTTAGTTGGGTGGGTTAGGGTTAGGTTGGTAAGGTGGTGACCTGGTTCTGGTTGGTGGGTTCGGGTTAGGTTGGTAAAGGTGGTGGGTGGGTTCCGGTAAGGTGGGTTAAGGTGGTAGTTAGGGTTAAGTGAGTGGTGGGTGGTTTAAGGTGGTGCGATTGGTGGGTTAAGGCAAGTAAATTGGTTAAGCGTAGTGGTGGTGGTGGCTAGAAGTAGTGGTGCGGAGTTTTTTTTTTATGGTTGGAGTCAACGCCGGAGTTTTGGGTCAATGCCGGAAAATAGACTCTAGTGGTGTTTAACAACAATTTTTTGAAAATGGGTGGTACTAGACAACAAATTTTTTTTGGGTGATTTTTGACAAAAAAAGTGATTTTAACGGGTGGTTTCTGACAAAATTTCCTAATCTTAATTTACAATTTGAGATTTTGTTGAATTCGTCTTATCATATCTAGAGTATATTTTAGAGTAATTTCTACTTCCTCATTTTTAAATAGAAAAAATTGCTGGAATAGTCTCACCTTTGGGCCGTCTGGGAAAAAAAAAATCTCATATTTGGCTATAAATAATCCCACCTTTATACCTTATCCGCTCCTAAGAGTCCCAATTGGTCATGTAACTTATTATAACAAGTTATCAGACACATGTCTGCCTGTGATTGGTAAAAAAAAAAGTTTAATTTATTTTGTGAATCGCTAAATACCGCCAACGTTTTTTATCAACACCGCCAACAAAAGTGATTAAAGGACAATATTACCCTTACTTATCCTCACATAACTTTCTCTCTCCTAAGGGACAAACCCAACCTTCAAACACCACATAAGCCATCACCACCCATTCCACTAGCCACGCAATTACAAATGGAGTACTTTTTTTGACAAACAAACAAATAATAGTAATAAAATCATAATAACAACTAATCGAAGATCTTGTACTACACTGCTACTTTAACTCAAATGAATAATTTTAATTATAATTCAAAAAAAAATCAAGCAGTATTTTTGTGATTTACTGTCGACCGTGGCTAACAATCGGCGCCAAAAATCGATTGGCCTGGGTAACCACCGGTTTTCAGCGCCGGTTACTGACAGAGTCAACCGGTTTTGAGCGTCGATAGTGAGCTATAAAAAAAAGAAGATGAAGTGATGAACTGGTTTTGACGACCACCGCAATACCAGCTCGTCTTCTTCGAGCAATCGACAATCGTCATTGCTGCCCTTCCACCTCCAATGTGTACAACCTTCGCTGTCGTTCACCTCCAACGTACAACCACTGTTGTGGTGGTATGGTGGTTGGGAAATGGTGACGAGAGAGAAAGCACGGTGAGAAAAGTGGTGGTTGTGGCCTTGTGGGTGATGAGATAGAAAAAAAATAAAGAGGAAGAAAATGGGGAGGTGTAGTAAGGGTATTGGTGTCCATTCATCTAAAATTTTGGCGGTGTTGATAAAAATTGTTGGCGGTGTTTAACACCTCCCTTTATTTTAGGAAAAAAAAATTGAAAACTTAAAAAAAAAAAAAAAAAAAACCACCAACCTGCTCCAGCCACCTTCCTCGCCACCTGCTCCCGCCGTCATTACCGCCAAAGTCCCCTGCCCCATGGCTCCGACCGCCCAGATTGACTCCCCCAGCGCTGCGCCCCCTCTCCGTTTCCCCCGAACCACCAGTATCCCTTCTACCGTATTGAAAACCCTCGAAAACCAACCATCCCACAACCCTCGAAAACCCTTTTTCTGCCTGATATGTCTATTTTATATAGTGTTTTACCCCCGTCCCTCAGTCATAATTAGTAGTGTTTTTGGCCCTTTGGGGCCACTTTTATTACTAATATGTGTTTTCTAGTGTTTTCGTAGTTTTGGTTAAGTTTTGCAGGGAATTGCACCTTTGGAGTATTTTCCCGGGATTTTTATGAAGCGACTACGAGCATCGGAGGAGCACGACTATTTTCGGAGCCCGAGGCAATTGGACCATGTATTCGAGACCCGAGAGGAAATATGGATTGGGCCGAGAAATCTAGCCCAAATCAAAGTCCAAACCTCCAAGATGAAGCCGGGCCCGATCGGGCAAGCTTACGCCCGATCGGGCGAGCTGTCGCATGCCAGCTGCCAAGGAGATGCGCGCCCGATCGGGTGAGCGTAGGCTCGATCGGGCGCAGCACTGAAAGATAGGCGTAGAAAAAAGGCGGGCCCGATCGGGCGCCCCCTTCGCCCGATCGGGCGCGTGTTTTGTTAGAACCTGATTAAGCTTTGTTTATTTCGTGTTTTAGGGGGAGATATTTATATTGGTTTTGTACGGATAATTAATGACTTCCTTCTCTTAGACTTTCTCTCTCTACTTAGTATTTCTCTATCTCTAGAATTCTCTCAAAACTCTTGTACTTAATTCCTACATTAATTCCAGATTTGTTTTGGTACAATTTCTTCCCTTTCTAATTTCAGCTATTTTAATTATTTTCTTGTTTATGTTTTTAATTGTTTATTTGATTGGATTAGTTATGATGATTAGTGAGTATTTTAATTCTAGGGTTTTAGGGGATCCACAATTAATATGAAGGGATAGCTTGTTATTATTGATTGTTGATATTGCATGATAATTTCCTATTGAATTGTTTTAATTCTTTGCAATTAGATTATGAATGGAGCAGATGTAATTTGGTTGTGAATGTTTAGCAATATTGAATTGATGAATCGAGCAGATGTTGATTTAATATTAAAGGCTATTTTTAATAGGAACTTAGGTCTAATAAATTGCGAGAGCCTGTTAGATCCATGTTGGTTAATAAATTGCGAGAGCCTGCTAATCATGTTATTGATGCATTGTTAATTATTAATTGTTTCGTTCTATCCCGGAATATTAATTATTGGTGAACCTGCGACCCTAGGTTTCCTTATTATTGATTCTTTTCTCCCTAAACTCATCCTTCGTAGTATAGAATTCATATTTAAAATATTGGTTACTTAGATAATTTAGATTATAACAATTAATTAGAATTAAAAAGACTTGTTTCCCTGTGGAGTTCGACCCTACTTCCCTATCTACTGTAGTTAGTGATTTAGGTAATTATTTTTGATCAGGGGATACGACTTTACCCTGTCAAAATTTGGCGTCGTTGCCGGGGAAACGATTTTATTTTTATTTTCTGATTATATTTTTGTAGTCTAGATTATCCCCCCTTTTGCCTCAGAGAACATTAGTTCTTTGAGGCAAATCTCATATTTGTCTTTAGTTCTTTGTTTATGCCCAGGTGTTCTAGATCAGGTGACATCCCTTTTGATCCTGAGATCGAGCGTTCTTTTCATAGGCAAAGGAGACTCTACAGACAAATTCTGGCGGGTTCTGAGGAGGAAAACGATCGAAGAGATCCTCCCACTGATTCTAGTGATACAGATATTCCTTCATATTCAGAATCAGAGATGACGGCCCAGAAGAAACTCAGTGATTATTCGCAACCGAAGCTCACAGATTTCCCGCACCTTACTCCTACTCCGGCTCTAGATGGAGTTCAATTTGAGATCAAGCCCCAATTTATCACTATGATAGAGAGGAAGCAGTTCAGCGGAGCTAAGGGTAAAGATCCTAATCTTCACATCGCAGATTTCTGCCAATATTGTAACATCATTAGACAAGCCGGGGTTACGCAGGACCAAATCAGGGAGATTCTTTTTCCCTTTTCTTTATGTGGCAAAGCAAAATTATGGTTTAATGGTTTGAATAGAACTGCACTTGGTATTACTGGCTGGGATACTCTTGCTTTGAACTTTTATAATAAATATTATCTTGCAGAGAGAACAGCGGTGCTAAGAAGTGCTATTCAGAACTTCGCTCAAGAGGCCGACGAAACACTATATGAGGCTTGGGAGAGGTTCAAGGATCTACAGAGAGAGTGTCCCCACCACAATCTAGCACAATGGCAATTGATCCAAGCATTCTATAATGGACTTGGAAATTCTTCCAGATCAGTACTAGATTCGGCAACTAGTGGGAGGTTTATGAATTTAAATGTGGATGATGCAGGACAGGTTATCGAAGACATGGCAATACACAATTCCCAATATGGGAATCCGAGGGGGTTTGCAAATAAGGGGAAACATAATGTCGATTCTGTATCCTTTTTGCAAGCTCAATTAACTTCTATTTGTCAAAAATTAGATAATCTTACTACTACTCCTAACTCTGTAGCTAATGTTTCTGCTGTTGCTAACCATGAAGCTTTTTGTGAAAATTGTGGAATTGTAGGTCATTGGGAGCAAGATTGTAGGAGCTCTATGGAACAGGTTAATGCCTTTCAAACCTATAGGCAAAATAACCCCTATTCCAATTCCTACAATGCCGGTTATAAAAATAATCCTTACCTTTCATACCGGAGTACCAATGTACAAAACCCTCCACCTCCACAACAACCACAACAGCAACCCCCACCACAACAAAAATACTATCATCCTAATGCTGGCCAGAAAAGCCAAGTATCACCCTCATCATCTTTCGACCCTGCCATGACAGAAATTAGAGCGATGCTAGCTAATATGCAAAAGCACATGGAGAGTAGGGATGCACAAATTGATTCTATCCTAGCCCACAATAAAATCATGGACAATCAAATTGCACAACTTTCATCTACCCTACAATCCCGTCAGCAGGGAGCTCTACCGTCACAGCCTATCCATCCTACAGATCATGCTAATGCAATCACTCTAAGGAGTGGTTCCCATTATGATGGACCTCCTATGCCACAGGAAGATGGACCAGTTTCTAATCTAGATTCCTCTATATCAAACGGTAATCCTGCTAGCCCTGCAGGGCTACAAAAAGACACTAACCCTACTAATGTTTCTGTGCAGGGTAAATTGCAGGATAAGGAGGAGTTGTGCAGAG